ATATATATATATATATATATATATATATGTATTGCGGTTTTTCATATAGTCACAGCTTTTGTTTCAGTGCGGCCTTTCATGGCTGTAGATGATTCGGGTGAAGGTTTGGAATGAGTGACTGCAAATAATGATGTTTTCCTGAGTGTAAATGAGAGACTGTTTGGGTGTGATTGAGGAAGAGGGGGTGCCAAGGTGCCACGAGCAAGGGAGGACTCCGGCTGAACCCCTGGACTGGAGATCACAATCGGCACAATGGCCCCCACAGCAGCACGGCCACTTCCAACAACAAAAGATGGCCAAATGTGGAAGACCATAACCACATCAAAGGAAGAAGGTCTGCTCTGAAATAGCGTTTGCTCATGGCCCATGTCTATGGAAACAAGGACTCTATTTGAACACTGAATTTGGACACTGGCGTGTGGTCAAAACACGTCAAAAAATATTTTGTGTGGCCTTCAAATTCGGCCTTTGGAAAAAATGGCCTGCAAATTTGTACACAGCAAGTGAACCATGAAGGGAGAAGGTGGATGTTAAAGAATGTGACGAACATATTTGATGGATTTATTGGCAAAAAATAAATCATCTGCCATTATTTTGAGGTACTTGGGATTAAAAACTAAAGAGAGACTGAACCAGAGTGAGGTTTTGTGCTTGTTTTTGCTTAGCAAAAATTGTGATGAAGCAAACGTGTTATTTTGCACCACGTAAAACAAATGTGACACAAGAATGTTTTTAGTGCTTTTAATGCAACATGGTAAATTGCATCCGACGTCAGTGTAATTAGGCACACATATATCGTCGATCAATAACAGATTAATGCGCATGTTGAATAGCCATCCTGCTGGGACAGAGGGAGCATAAATTTTGATGCCTTGTCTACACATAGCCGAGCATTTTTAAAACCCAATATTTCCTCCCCTCACCAATGAAAGAGTGGAAGGGTGTTTAATTGTCCCACCACTAACTATTCGGCAATGGCATAGATAGTTGATTATGATTCTACCTCTATTCGGCCTAAGCCAGCCCAGATACTTTATCCAGTCATGCCGGTTAATCGTTTCAGAGGATAAAAATGACGTCACGTTCCAGGAAGTAGTTAAGTAGGACAGTGAGGGAAGGGCGGGCTCAAGCTGAGAACTACTTCACAGTGCACCTGCCTTCATCCGTCACACTCTGCACAGTGCACACACTCTGTACACATTCAGCACTTAAGAGCAGCTCCTGGTAGACACAGCAAGATGCGTGAAATTGTTCACCTGCAAGCCGGGCAATGTGGGAATCAGATTGGAGCAAAGGTACACTGATGACACTAATAATATCTGTTTTCTGTTGTTTACCACTTACCATGAATACTAAACAGGGCAACATTGGTTGACAAGTGCCGAGTAGGTGCGATAACACACTCTATGACTTGCCTGTCTAAATGTGATTTCTTGCAAACTTTTTGCTATCTGTTCATGTGCTGCTCCTTTGTGTCATTTTATTTGTCTTTCTAAATGACTGGCAAGTGGTGAAAAGAGAATTTCAATGCAGTCTTCTTAAGAAGTCTTCTGAATTATGCTTGGTACAGTTGAAAACTATGTGAAAAGATGTGTTTAAATCTCTAAATCATTGTAGAAAGGTTATTACAGTTTACTAAAACTAAAACTGAAAACATTTTTGTGAACAAAATAACAAAAATGCTTCGAAAAGAATGAAGACTAACTGAAACAAAAACGCTAGTGCTAACTAAAACTAAATATAATTGTAGTGAAAATGCCCTTTGTTTTATATTTGTCAATTAATATACATATTTTTTCAGAGTTCATTCGAGATGTAATTATTTTAGTATTGCTGTCCTTCTGTACAGAAGAGGTACGGGTTTGCCTGCGTGTGCATGTGTGTGTGTGTGTGTGAGACAGCCTGGGGCACTGCAACAGGTTGTTCTGAAGATGTTCCGTCTCCCTGCCAATTGTGCTCATGGTCCCTACCTGTTCAACGATTCAGTAACATTTGTATAATGTTCGATTAAATTTGCAAGCCGTCACACGTCATGTGTGCTACACCGGTCTGTTCGGATTCTTTTGCAGGGCGTAATTGTGGCATTGTGGTAAATGCACTAGGCCACCCTTCCTTCAACTATGAAATAGTGTTACCCATGTGGTTTGTTAATGTCACACTGGATCCCTTTTGAACATATTATGTACCCATCCGTCCATTATCTGAACCGCTTATGCTCACGAGGGCCGTGCTGGATCCGATCCCAGCTGTGTTCAGGCAGTAGGTGGGGTACACCTTGAACTGGTTGCCACCCAATCGCAGGGCACATATAGATGAATAACCACTCACACTCACAATCACACTTAGGGACAATTTTGAGTGTTCCGTTAACCTGCCATACATGTTTTTGGAATGTGGGAGTAACCGGGAGAAAACCCACACAGGCACGGAGAGAACACGCAAACTCCACACAGGAAGACCGGGGCCTGGAATCAAGCTCATGACCTCGACACTGTTAGGTGCACGTGCTAACCAGTCGACCATTATCATGTACCCACAGAATCATATGGATGGTACAATGTCAAAGAAGAATGCCTCTTTTTACAGTACAATGGCAAGCCCAGGTGACAAATTCAACTTTGGGAATATATTTTTTGTGCACTTAGCCATATTATTTGTGTGCTGGCCCTAGCAGAGTGCTTCTGCAATCTTTGTCACACTATAGTGAGGCATGATTTTATAACACAGACAACTAAATGTGTGTCGTGTACATTCATTGAATTGCCTTCATGATGTTTTGATTTTGGGCGGGCCTGGTGGTAGACCGGTTTGCGCGTCGGCCTTACACTGCAGAGGTGCAGGTTTGGATTCCGGCTCCGGCCTACCTGTGTGGAGTTTGCAGGATCTCCCCAGGCCTGCTTGGGTTTTCTCCAGGTACTCCGGTTTCCTCCTACACTCCAAAAACATGTGTGGCAGGTTAATGGAACACTCTAAATTGTCCCTAGGTGCTAAGTGTGAGGGCAGCCGCCAGCGAATGACAAATGAAGTACCAGCAAAGCGTACGTCTTTATCATTCTGTTTTGCATTCATTTGTAAATTGGTATGAGAGAAAGAGAATGAATGGAAATTGCTCTGAGTCCCATTGTTCACTTCAAAAAGCAGCCAGGTTTTGGAACTACCTGATTGCCACTGGTGCAGGGAGTGGCATAAAACCAGTATGGCTGCCCTCTGTTCCACTTTTGCTACAAAAGCAATTTTGCCAAGAAATTTGTGCGTCCGACTAGAAGTCAAATAAGTTCAAGCATTTTACTGTTGACAGCAATAACCTAATATGTGGAAACAATGAATCCTGCATGCTTTTCACACCCACAAACAAGCAGCAAGTGAAGGTACCAGCAGTGCAGGTCTGACAAAATCTCAATGAAATAATAGTTTTTTCGATAATATCAATTGTTCAAATAGTTCGAGCATCTGAACATTTAGGGAGTCCGTCTTAAATTGCTGTAGTTTCTAAATGACAAATGTGAAACTTCATTTCGTGAGGATCTACTCCTTTGTAATATTTTGATGATTTTATTTCAAATTATCGTGGAGGTGTAGATGAAAACTAACTTGTTCAAATCATCCTGGGTTTGGCAGTACTTTGACGCAGTGTTTAGAATATTTCCTGTGTGTGAATTGTTTTGCATGAAACAGTTTTGGGAGGTGATCAGTGACGAGCATGGCATCGACCCAACTGGATCCTACCATGGAGACCAGGAACTCCAACTGGATAGAATCAATGTCTACTACAACGAGGCGACAGGTCAGGAATCCCTAAACACAATTTGCAATGACTAATGTGTTTTGAGGGAATTCAAATCCAACCTTTAGTTGAACTATTTGACTCGCAGGAGGAAAGTATGTCCCAAGGGCGGTCTTGGTGGATCTAGAGCCAGGCACTATGGACTCTGTCCGATCCGGCCCATTTGGAAGAATATTTAGACCCGACAACTTTGTCTTTGGTAAGCTACACCTTTTCATATTCCTTCTTGATCAATGAAAATTATTATAAGAAAAGTCGTGATGGTATGAAATCCAATTGTGGCCAAGAAGATCAAAATGGGGTCTTTCTTTGCAGGCCAGAGTGGAGCGGGAAATAACTGGGCCAAGGGTCACTACACGGAGGGAGCCGAGTTGGTGGACTCAGTTCTGGATGTGGTGAGGAAGGAAGCTGAGGGATGCGACTGCCTACAGGGGTTCCAGCTTACACATTCTTTGGGTGGCGGGACCGGTTCTGGGATGGGAACCTTGCTCATCAGCAAGATCCGTGAGGAATACCCGGACCGCATCATGAACACCTTTAGTGTGGTGCCCTCTCCGAAGGTAAAACTCATGTCGCGCTCTCGTTTGGTAAGTGTCATTCCAGAACCAGAGGACAATTTAGGCACTGACATTTTAAAAGATTGCACCATTTATTTGATTTTTTTATATATAGGTTGCTTTTGTACCTTCTGTCATCTAGTTTGATTGTTTTGCATGCGTTCTATATGTGGTTGATATAGGTAAAAAAAAAATTAATGGAAAATCATGAATCCATTCATCCATATCTGAACCACTTTTTTCTCATGAGTGTCATGGGCGTGCTGAAGCCTATCCCAGCTGTCTTCAGACAGAAGGCGGGGTTTACCTTCAACTGGTTGCCAGCCTATTCCAGGGCAGACATAGACAAACAACCATTCACGCCCATAATCACACCTAAGGACAATTTCGAGTCTGCCATTAACCTGTCATGCATGTTTTTGGAATGTGGCAGGAAACCGCCGTAACCGAAGAAAACCCACACAGGCACGGGGAGAACATGCAAACTCTACACAGGAAGGTCAAGGACCCGAATTGAACCCTGCACCTCTGCACTATGAGGCAGACGGGCCGCCCCGGAAAATAAATTTTCGTCAACATAATTGGCCTTGGATAATTTCCCATTGCACACCTGATGATCTCTCACGGCACACTTGTTGAGAATTGCATACTCATGGAAGGACAACAGAAAAAAAGTCTATTAGGAACTCAAGAGATATTTGGTGATTTACATATGATACGACAGTGGAAGTTAGGGCAAGTATAATTTACACGGCAAGTGCTTGTTTCTATATTTTGTGCATCAATTATAATTGGGGTGGGGGAGACACACAGAAAATGTCCTCTATTTCTGGAATGACCATTGACAGTTCAGCCTTGGTGGAGTTTTACACTCCGCTGAGTGAGATTAAATTTTTTTAATTGCAACATGTTGCCTGCAGGTGTCCGACACAGTAGTGGAGCCCTACAACGCCACTCTGTCCGTCCACCAGCTTGTCGAGAACACAGACGAGACCTACTGCATTGATAACGAAGCCTTGTATGACATCTGCTTCCGTACACTCAAGCTGACCACGCCCACTTACGGAGACCTCAACCACCTGGTTTCCGCCACCATGAGTGGGGTGACAACCTGCTTGCGTTTTCCCGGGCAGCTGAACGCGGACCTCCGCAAACTGGCTGTCAACATGGTCCCCTTCCCTCGTTTGCACTTCTTCATGCCGGGCTTTGCCCCGCTCACGAGCAGGGGGAGCACCCAGTACAGAGCCCTCACCGTGCCTGAACTCACTCTGCAGATGTTTGATGCCAAAAATATGATGGCTGCCTGTGACCCCCGCCACGGGCGCTACCTCACCGTGGCTGCCATATTTCGCGGCCGCATGTCCATGAAGGAAGTGGATGAGCAAATGCTGAATGTGCAAAACAAGAACAGCAGCTACTTCGTCGAGTGGATCCCCAACAATGTCAAAACGGCCGTGTGTGACATCCCGCCGCGCGGCCTCAAGATGTCCGCCACGTTCATCGGTAACAGCACCGCCATCCAGGAGCTGTTCAAGCGCATCTCTGAGCAGTTCACCGCCATGTTTCGCCGCAAGGCTTTCCTCCATTGGTACACGGGCGAGGGCATGGATGAGATGGAGTTCACTGAGGCGGAGAGCAACATGAACGATTTGGTGTCCGAGTACCAGCAGTACCAGGACGCCAGCGCTGAGGAGGGGGGCTTTGAAGAGGAGGAGGAGTATGAGGAGGAGGCCTAAGACCTCTTTTTGTTTAATTCACTGCCTCCTAGCGGGTACTGTAACCTTTTCCCGGGTCTGTATTGTCTGCACTATCACTCCTGCCTCTTTTTCGTGCCTGCAGATCTTTGCCATCATCCAGTCAAAGATGGCTTCACTGGATTCTCTTCCTTACCCCAGTGAACACATGGAAATCTGTCATCCGTCCTCTCTTAATGTTTTTTTTCTGTTCTTTACACAATTCTACATCTGGGTCAAATGCAACACATTGTATTTGAATTCATTTGTTGAATCTGGTATTTGGCTTCAATAAATGTGTTGGTAAACAGCAATATTGGTCTTTTTTTGTTTTTGTTCTTATCTGAGCCTGAGCACGCAGGACACTGCGGCCATTTTGTCATCAACCACAGCTATGTCACAGGATCAAAAACACCAGACACTACTCTTGCTTTTGTTTACTTGAGAAAAATGAAAACGATAATATAAAACTTATTCCAGGTGAATAAAATAGAGATATAAAAAGAAAAAAACAACAAAAACAACCTTGTGGCTCCACTCAATGCTTCCCAGACCACATTACACTGAGGTTACCAGACACGATCCTTCTGCCTTACTGACAGTTAAATACATATTAAGTACATATATCAACAAGCATTGAGCCATCGGCGGTTTGACAGGATGGCAAGTGGTGGCAACCACCATCTTGACCAAATGACCTGCCACCTCTGTTGGGGTGTACCTGTGTATTGACCGTTACAAAATGAAGATAGACAGATAGATAGATAAATAGATTTTAAAAAGCACACACTACCATGATATCTGCAGAAGTCAGACAATTGTGAATAGCAGGTTTGTAGTTCTTGTTACCAAAGGTTCAGACATTTCCCACATTTATATTTCAGGAGAGTTCCAAATAAAGAACATTTATTACACACCTCTTCAGTGTGGGCAGGTTCATGTCAATAGTCTGGACGTCATGAAAAAAAAACCTAAATATTCGGGATTTTGCATGTGGTGGTGAAGTGAATATTAAAGTTTTGAATTTGTGGCATGGTGTCATATGCTTCTGCACACAAACGATGACACAAGACTGACATGAAGCAGGAAGTGTTCAGTCACACGCAGACGGTGCTGATTGTGCAGCCAGCCGCTACTTCTCTCTGTCGTCCTGAACTCCAACAGAGATCACCTGCTGAAGATCTCACCCCACCCCAAACCCCCCGTTGTACCGACACATGGACGCAGTGGCATTCAGACAACATGGGCTCTAGAGTGAGGTAAGTTAATCATGTCATTCCTCCACCCTCCAAAATGGTGATGTGAAAATTTATGTCCTCGTTTTTTTGTTTTTTTTTTTTGGTCACTTCCTCTCACATCTGAAAGTTTCCTGCAGCGAGTACATTTCACTCAACAAGGCACCCGAACTTTCAAGTTAGCAGAAAACAGAATGCGTTTCTTCCAGAGAGCCATATATTATTTGAATGTTTGCATTGCAATTCCATTCAAACCGAATGTAAATATTTCCAGTCGTCCATTTGACAAATTTACTCACAGCCAGAGAGAAATGACTTTCCAATATTGAGGCCATATTTTGTGTGATGGATTCTAATCTATCATGATTTCCACAGACAAAATCCTGAGCGAGCGTTCAACGTCTTCTTTGAGGCAATATGTCCTATCGCCAGAGAAAAAGGTCAGTCGCTTTTTGCCACCTTGCAACAAGGCGTGCGAGCATTTCAGTTTCCATTCATGTGCGCATCTGTACAACTTCATCCAATATTGTACACTCACAAATTTACCAGTGGAATTGTAGAGCCGCGGAAACATTCCTTTGATTCCAGCACTCATTTCCTCTTTCTCCAGGATAGAGGACAGTGACTACATACGGGCTGGTAAAAGTATAGCAATGCCATCTAAGCTGAACAACTGCCTGAAATCGATGATACAAACACAATCTGTAACAATGGGTATTTCCTGTTCTGTGGTTTGAAAACCACACCGCTTGTCCTGTTGCTTTGAACCAGAAAGCAACATGAATGTGATCAGTCTCCTAGTATGACTCAAAGACTTTTTGCTTATTAACATGCGACATTTATTCGCAATCTTCTATCTACTGTTTATTGCAATTGTCATAGTCTTAATTAAAAATACAAAAGACTGCCATCTCTGGTAGGTTTGCCTTTCATGAACGTTATCCACCCATTTTTGCAGCTGTGCTTGCGCCTGTTCCAGTCGACTTTGTGTGAGAGGCAGTATATACCCTAGACTGGTCACCAGCAATTTGCAGGGCATACAGTATATAGAAAAATAGTCAGTTTAAGTGTTCAAGTAACCTAACAATAGGCCAGAGCTGATATTCGAAAACCGAACCTCTCGACTGTGAAAAAGACATGCTAACCACTCTGCAAAGTACTCTTCCTGTATTTATCACTGACTTCACACACACACACACACACACACACACACACACACACACACACACACACACACACACACACACACACACACACACAAAAAATACAAATCCACAGACAGGCTCCAACGTTTTATCGAAAGACCCGCAATAAGTGTCTACATATATTACAAAATACTTCATGTCCAACAAAATACACTCAGCTAGAAAAAAACCCCCACATACAGTACACATTTGCCCTCTCTGAATGCTCTGCAGTTTAATTTCTATACAGCAGTGATTCCCAATTAGAGTGGATAAAATATATTGTTGAATTATTTCATTTTATTTCATCAAGCGGTTGCGTGAAATAAAAGCATCTGAATCGAAATACATTATTTAAGTATAATAGTCTATAAAATGTATCTGGATCCAGATGACCTTATTTCATACAACCACTTGACAAAATGAAATTGAGTAAATTCACCACTCAGTGCTGTGTAAGGTCGTGCGCTGTGGGAAATCACTCCATTTCAATAAATATTCCTGAAAATGATCATTTTTCCATTACATGTTCATCTATCTATGCCTGTGACATATTATGACAGGCAGAATGATTAAATGCTCTTCCATGGTTCGGAAACATTAACACTGGATAAAGGTATGTACTTTTGTGCTACAGATCCAGTCGTACGTCTTCAGTTTCCAGATGACTTCAGAGATGAGGTACACTCGTTTGGATCTGCTTGCCTGCATGCATCCATCTACCGTCAATTTTGAATGACATACATGATCTGCTTTGTAGGAGTCTTGTCAAACGTTATCCGGGTTCTGTTTCCCATACGACATGCAAGGGTGAGTTTTGCATCATTACTTCAACCAAAAGGTGTGCATTTTTACTAGGGATGGGAATCGATAAGATTTGCTCGATTCCAATTCCATTGTCGACTCTGTTTAATGATTAAATTCTTCATCGATTCTCTTATCAATACTTTTTTTTTTATTAGGGTGGTCGGGGGTGGGGGGGGGGCGGACTAAACAAGTAGATTAGCAACACCTACCCTTCAAAGTAAGGTCCAGGGTTTGATTCCGGCTCCGGCCTTCCTGTGTGGAGTCTGTATGTTCTCCCCGTGGCTGTATGGGTTTTCTCCAGGTACTCTGGCTTCCTTTCACATTCCAAAAACATGGATGGAAGGTCAATGGAAGACTCTAAATGCTAAGCGTCAAACTCAGGTCCTGGAGGGCCGCTGATTCAAATGAAGAGCTTCAACATCAGGCTTCCTCAGAGCTTGCTGATGATCTGATCATTTGAATCAGGTGTGTTGCAATAGGGAGAGTGGGAAAACATGCAGGGCTATATAATAAGCGGATTCAAAAATGATTGGATGGATGGATTGATGGTAGGTTAAGGGAATATTCTAAATTGTCCGATTGTGAGTGCGCACAGTTATTTGTCGATGTGTGCCTTGCGATGGGATGGCCACCAGTTCAGTGTATACCCTGCCTACCGACCGAAGACGGCTGGGATGCTATCACCTCTTAAACTGTATTTAACAGGGACTTTTTGGGGGACTGTGAGTAAGAGGTTTAAGTTTTTTTTTTGGTTTGTGTGTGAGGTTTTTTGTTTAATGCAAGTTTTTTTTGCTGCGGTAAGAATTATTTGTGGACTTTTTTTGATGCACGTTAGCAACTGTTATGTTGTATGGGGGGGCTGTGCAGCCCCCATACAATAAAGCCATTCTCATCTACTACCCTTTTTTTGTCAGACTACACAGAAAAAGCAGAAGCTGCATTGCGTCACAATCTGATAGGGCAAACAAATGTCTGTCTGCATTTTTTGGAGGGGGGCGGTGGGCAACGTTTTAAGCGTCGGCCATGGACTGTACTCTATTTCCAAGATCATCTTTTATTCAGGGTATGGGAGGAAAAGGCTGTGCAGCACTTTACTTTTGTTCTGACTGATATTGAGGGATGCCAACGCTTTGGCTTCTGTCGTCTCAACAACAGTGCTCAGATGTGCCTTTGCATCCTCAGGTATGAACATGTTGGTGTGAATGCTAATGCTTAGTTTCATCACTCCATAGAGTATGACACTATGATTGTTTTCACAGTTACCTTCCCTGGTTTGAGGTCTTTTATAAATTTCTCAATACCCTAGCTGACTACATCACTAAGGGCCAGGTGAGTTTAAAATAAGGTCAAGTCTCATTTGTTCCAAATAAACATGATGACACTAAGGACCTTCATCTGCTTATCAGATCGATGACATGAAAGTGATGCTCGCTGCACTCTACAAGCAACCCATACCACTGGCACCGGGATCTATCACACTGCAGATGGTAAATTTAAAAAAAAAATGTATATGGTGGATACTGTACTTTATATTGAGCAGCAATGGGTTGTTTAGGGTTCTATGGCTTCGATGGGGCTACACAACAGTGTTGTCACTTAGCAGAGGGAATTTATACTATTCAAATTATATCAGTACTTCGATATACAGTAGCTCAGGCATGCAAACTGGCCATTCTTGCAAAACAAACCCATATTTATGTTGACCATTGAGGCGCTTCATTTTATCTGTGACCTCAAACTATCCAGCTCTTTTATGTTACCATTTCTTTCACTGATGACACTGTTTTTTGTTGTTGTTGTTTTTATTTATTTATTTATTTATTTATTTTACATTTCATGAAATGTTACAATTTTTTTTAAATCAGAGATGAAAGATTTCTGGTTGCATTTTTGCACTGATTATGATTAATCATCATCATTGTCATCGTCATCGTTCTAAATTTCTGAATAAGGGTTAGGTTCAGCAACAGGAGGATTTTTTTGCTGAAATGTGATTGGTACAAATCACAACTCATGGTAAACATTGCTTTTTTAGATCAAACTTAAAAACAAAAACTGAAAATATTTACCAAGAACTGAAATGTTAGAAAATATAAAGATGTTTTGTAATACTTTTCGGGACACAGTAAACCATCTCTGATTAACATTTATTGCTGGCCAGTGTTATAATTTCCCAATATAATCATGTTGAATTCTTCTGGCAAGGCTCCATACTTCATTGCTCCTGATCCGAGAGGTCTGCCGTCTATTCCTGAAAATGTGAGTATTTGCGATCAAACCTGGCGCCTCAAGTTTTACTTGCTAAGAACTCCGCTGTGTTTGCATTTATGAGTGTTTGTGTCTGTACACCAGAGGAATTTGACAGAGCTGGTCGTGGCAGTCGATGTGACGAACCTTCTGCAGCTCTACGCCAGCATGTTGTTTGAGAGACGCATCCTCATATTTGCTCGCAAACTCAACACTGTGTGTATTTCTTTCATTGTTTTGCATTCCATTTTAAATACGCTTGACACACATTCACACATACTGTATTGTGTGCTACTGTGCTGTTTGTAGCTCACATCTTGTTTACACGCACTCGGGGCTCTGTTGTACCCAATGCACTGGCAACACATCTTCATCCCAGTTCTGCCACCTCACCTTCTTGACTATTGCTGGTAAGCCTGTCAGTCTGTCGTCTGTATTTCTATTTCTATACGTCACATCTGGTATCACCTGTTGCAGTGCACCTATGCCGTACCTAATTGGGGTTCATAGCAGTCTAGCCGAGGTAAGAAATTGTTTGAAATGCATGAACAAAGACCATTAAATAACAGTGTGGGTTTGGCAGAAGGTGAGGAGTCGAGGCTTGGAAGAAGTTGTCATTTTGAATGTGGATACAAACACATTGGAAACCCCCTTCAATGACCTGAAGAAGATACCTTCAGATGTGGTAATAGCTCCTTCGTGTGTGTGTGTGTGTGTGTGTGTGTGTGTATGTGTGTGTGTGTGTGTGTGTGTGTGTGTGTGTGTGTGTGTGTGTGTGTGTGTGTGTGTGTGTGTGAATGTATTTATTTAAAAAGTGTCTGCACCCATCATTAGTAGTGTTGCAGTGGTTCACGCAGCTGTGCTTCACATTTCCCATCATCCACTGGCATGACCCAAAAGTATTGTAAAAGCAAGGCCAATTCATGTATTTTTGCTGAAAAGTGAAAACGCCTCGGCTTGACATCATTTGAGAAAAGAGATCAACAATTCAGTTTTTATTTGCACACTGAACATCTGTTGGTGTTAATTCAACACCTCTGGGTGTTCATTTTAACGCAGGCAAAGTGTCTATATGCATCCACGGTACGTGGTGTTAAATGTTCAACACCCAATAGTGTGTCACTGCAACACAATGTGTTGGCAGTGCAGGAATAATGACGCTATTGAGTGTGGCGGAAAAAGTTTTTCAAATATTTATCTGTCTCTTTTTATATCATAAACACCTGGCATTTGAACAGGACCGTGAGGACTTTTTCCACTGTATGTCGTATCTGTGTCACGTCACCAATTGTAAATGTACAGTATATCTGTCCCCAGGTGTCTGGGCTGAAAGTATGTTTGAAGCGTCAGGTGGTTTCTGCTGGTTCTGGGGTCTCACGGGCCTTTCTCAAGGCCCAGTCTGTCCTGTTTGGAGGATACAAGGATGCTCTGCAGAATCATAAGGTCGGTTTCTTCTTAAAATGTGGCTTGGAGTGGATGCAAATGTTGTATTATTATTTATTTCTTCTTATTATTATTTATTTACATTTTTGTACAATGTTCCAGTTTGTATTACTATTTTTCATTTTTAAAAATACATTTTAATCCTGGAGGTGAATTGAATTTTCTTATTCTGTTGGAATTTTTTTTTTGTACACATTACATATTATTATTATTATTAGTAGTAGTAGTAGTAGTAGTAGTATTGTAAATATTGAAATATTGAAATTTTTTCTTTAATTTTGCAGGGGGGTGAGGTATCCTTCAGTAATGATTTGTTTCTAGACCACAAATCAGCCAGCATGAGGGGGTTTCTTCAGAGTGCCATTCATTTACAGTTTTTCAAACAGGTACAGCACATGGCTTCTCTAAGTGTCTGCTGCTCTCTACTGGACAAAAATCTTTAACCATGTACTGTATGGTGTGTACTCATTGAAAAACTGGGTTTGCGGGGAGGGATTCTCAAGTACAAAATAACTGCACAATGAGAGACCATTTTACGTTTGTGACTTGTGTTAGTTTATTCCATTTATTTAGTTACCATTGTTGTATCACTGAAAAAACAAATCCATGAGACTGGTTGTTTGCACTCCTGCCTCACAGACGAGAGGTTCTGGGTACTGAGCTCCAGCTTGATTTCTGTGTGGAATTTGCATGTCCTCTGTGCGTACGCTGACTTCCTTCTCTCACATTGTGACAACCATGCATGTCAGTTTATTGAAGACTCTAAATCACATGTATCAAAGTCAAGGCTCGGGGGCCAGATCTGGCCCGGCGCATCATTTTATGTGGCCCGCGAAAGCAAATCAAGAATGTCAAATTCCATGATGCTTGCTAAAGTCTGAACCAAAATTTCAAATTGTCATATGTAATCCACAATAACAGTCTATATATATATATATATATATGGTTTCGTAAAATTCATAACAGCCCTCCAAGGAAAACCGTAACTACAATGTGGCCCATGACAAAAATGAGTTTGATATCCCTGCTCTAAATTATGTGAATGTGAGCGCGAATGGTTGTTTTCGATTATTGCCCTGGGGTTGCCTGCCGACCAGTCCAGGGTGCTGAGATAGGCTTGAGCTCACGCGACACACTACTCGACACATGTTGAATTTATGACCCTAGCTGGTCGTTTGTGTGCTTTACTTACCAGGACGATAGGATGCACCTCATCTGTATCAGTAAATATTGAATAGTCTGCATGCATTTATTCTGGTGAATAGATGCAGGACGACATCCGATCAGCTCCTTATACGTGTACTCCGTGCAGTTTACTGACTTATTCTGTTGAGGCTGAACAACGTGGCTCCATATGAATCTGATTCAAAGACAGAGTCATCCCTGAGATAATTTATGTGATATTAGTGTTCATTAGTAGGCTAATTTGCAAAATATTTTCAGTTTATTGATGGACGCCTGGACATCCTGAACACAGGGAAAGTACCACAGGACCTCTTTGAAGAGGAAATTCTTCGATCTGAAACGACAGGTAGGTACATTCAGTGTGCTGTAGTGTAGACAGATTGTGGAGGGAGGAATCTGTCACTTATTTCCTTGTTGGTCTTTTTTTTTCCAGGAAAGAGTAAATCTTACCAACAGCTAGTTGGTAATTTAAAGGTAAGTGACTACTCATTAAAAAAATATCTACTCGTATTGTTGCCCAATTCAGGATGCTGCTCTATCTGTGACAGAGAGGGGGAGGAGCGCTGATCCTCAACATCAAGTCCAAAACAAATAACGTACGGGTGAACTGAGGAGTGTTTCACTAGAGTAGCGTCTGCTATACTTGAACGATTGTTTGTATACAAAAATGCTCTGTCTTTACCAGGCAAAAGGCCTCACAAGATCTGGTCTGAAAAGCAGGTTGAAACATAAGGTGAGTTATGTAATGGTTGCCGTAATAATTAACTATGGCGTAATATATTTGTGGCTTCACCAAAAAGTGTGTTTGTAAGGCAGGCCTTCAGTCAAACACAGACCCTTCAGAGAGGTGGATCTTTGTCACATCGTGCTCAATCTGACTGCCTGCAGAATCGTCTGCCAATCACACAACACTTTGGAATGGTAATAATCCCCCAAAAATGTAATACAACATCTACGCCTGTCAATGGAAAGCCATTTGACCATTTGTTCAAAATCTTTTTTTGTCGATCTTGTAAGAGTAGGCTCTTGGTCTTCAATTTTAAGACAATCCAGTGCACTTGTAGATTGACTCTGGCACACAGCATAGAACTATGTGTGTGGACGAAGGGTGAGGAGGGGCAGTACAGCAGGTTGGCAGATATATATATATATATATATATATATATAACATTATGTTGGCTGCTTGCCAGCAGTATTAAAAATACTTGAACATGTTCCCTCAAATTTTCCACGCATCTGAGCATTCACACAAAGTCCCTGAGCATTCATCGAACCACAGACATGCACACGACGGCCAACCCACTATAACTCCTGTCCAAAATCTGAGATCAGATGTCACATCAGGGGTCAGCAACGAATAAATGGCCATACGGCTTTCCATACGTAAGAGAAAAGTAAAGCACAACATCCGATGCATCCAACTTATGTGTCTTGCATTTTTTTTGTGCTGTTTTCACACTTTTGCTTCTATTTGTCTGTCAAACTTTTTTTTTCTTTGTTGTTTGATGCTGGTGATTATTTTTCTTCGAGTCACGTCCTCGTCGGCCCAGTTACAAACTTGGTGTCACCCAAGGCCAGGGAGCCAAGGCAGCTGGAGATGCATGGAGCGGGTGAGAAACCTAAACCTGCGGACAAGTATTATTGGCCATTTACAGTGCCAATTCATTAACCATTTACCGTATTTTACGCACTATAAGGCGCACCTAAAAGCATTTAGCTTTGTCAAAAGCCGACAGTGTGCCTTCTAATCCGCCTTATAATTGGATCAATAATCAGATTTCTTCGACGTAGTATTTTAAACGTTCTGTAAAACGATTTGTTACAGCTGCAGCGATATAAATAATGATGTATTGTATTTTACCTATTGTATTTCCTTCAGCGCAGCTTCATCTAGTGGATGCACAACGTAACTTCAGCCACCATTGTTGCTTCTATTCATGTGCGCCTTATAATGCGGTGTGCCTTTTAGTGTGGAAAATATGGTAGTTTACCAAGATATTTTGGACATAGTTTTGTTTTGTGGAAATAATTTGGGGGAGTCCTGACTTGAATTCTATCAAACTCCTTTGGGATGAACTAAAACAAATAAGGTAGAGCCTAAAACATCAGGTCCTTTCACTGGTCCAACATGAGTGACGCTGATCTCCAAAACCTTCTTTTGGATAAATGTACAAAAAAAATCCACAGACACACTCCCAAATTGTGTAAAAAGTCGTCACTCACTTTTTTTCATTTTCACTTTCTGTACGTTATTTGGACGTGTACATTCTTGTGTGGACCTGTATATCAAGGGCAATGTCTGGGCAAGGGGCCAAGCGTGACTCTGAGTTTAAAACGGATGAAGAGAAGGAGGAAGAGGAACTGTGTGATCTAGAGGAAATGGATCTTCTAAGCGAGATCTTTGACACCCTCAGCATTCGCAGCTCACATGACAGGGGCCTGTTATATGGCACACGCAGCCTGGATCTTTTTGGACCAGACAGCCATGACTATATTACAAAGGTAAGAACATAACAATGACACATACATAATGCCGCACTGTTGAAATTAGTAATAGCTATGGCAGAATGCTTCATTTTAAATGACTGTCAGAGAGGTCTTACTGGGCTAAATGTCACTTTTCCAATATACCCTTTTAGGTAAATTTATCGCATTCTCAGCATGATGTGGTCCATCCACGGCTGCACAATTACGAACACATTAAATTATTTCCGGTCAGTCGGTACTTTCTAGTTGTCGCCATTTTTAGATCCGTTTTTTTTCCCCCCCCAAAAAATCTCCCTTTTCAAGGTAAAATTTGTAACATTTAAAAGTGGGTGAAATTATAATTTACTTCTCCACTAAGTAGAGCTACTATACCATTTTGTTTTTTTTTCCCCATTATCAAAATGCATGAAAAATTATAAATTAATATCCGCGGACATTATGGTTATTTGTGTTGTATTAGATTTTTTTTTCTTTTTTTGGACAAAGCTTGGATCGTCTCTCCATCTTATTCAGTTGTGCAGGACTAACCCGTGTAAATTTGATAAACAACAACTGTTTTGTTTAGCTTGGTCGAGTTAATCCCAGCCAGGAGAGCCTCTCTCTGTGCACGAGTGGCAGTGGCAGCCTTAACAGCTGGAACCTGGAACAGTCAGACAACGTGCAAACGCTGACTGGCAACTCGGATGGGCTGAGCTTTGATGCATATGAGACTGTCAAGGATACCTCAGCATTTGTAACAGAGCAAGAAGAGATCCTGAGAGGCGTCAGAGATCAACAGTTGAAAAGGAAGGAAGCAATAGATGTGAACCACGAAGTAGAAATCCATAGCAGAAATAGTTCAAAGGAAGTGACGACTGAGCCAGAAAGGACAGTCACTTTAAAACAGAATCCTGTGGAGGAAACAGCTGAGCGACACAAGGACAACGACTTGAAAAATACAGAAGATGGTCTAAATCCAGGGGAGAGTGAGAAGCAACGTAGCGAAAATGGAATGGATGAAGTACAGGAGGATGCAACAGAAGAGAGAAGTGGAATGCTGGTGGTGAAAAGTGCAGAGGTGGGCTTTCATTCTCATGAGTCCAGAGAAGGCTTCCTTGAGAAGTCAAGGAATAAGGACTTGGCCGAGAGTGACAGAGCAGGTAACAGCAGCGACATTGTTCAAACATATCAGTCGTATAATTCAAGGACCCATTCAGATGCTAACAGCACCATCAAGAACGAGCAAGGAGGCCCAACTCCTCTCAAGGTGTCAGAACTCAAAAAGATGTTTGAATCTCAATGGAGCAGCCACACTGGCTGATTGGGAGAGACACTGTGGTTCTGCCCCCCCCCCCCCGCAAAAAATGTCCATGTATCTTTTGACAAAGTTTGGATCAAGAAAGTAAGCAATAGTGTTCACATATTCTTTATTTACGTACACATTATTTTTACGTACAAAAGTCACCATAATAAAAGTGCATCATAGTTATCGCCAGTGTCAATCAGCATCCTTCATGAGCATAATACATAGTTTATCTGTATATTTATATAGACTAAATAATGCGGAGTGCAGTAAAAACGAACAAACCTCAATTCAAATACAAAGCCAAGTTCAGTTCAAATTTCTCTTTCTCATGGAGCCAAACTGGTGACATATTTGATGACCTGTTTAATCCAATAAGTGAATCAAAAGGAAAAAAAAGTGTCTGATGTGTCAGGAAGATTTGTGGTGCAAAACTTAAGAGTGGATAATCACTACAAATGTGTGGGGATATTCATCCACACGGTTGATAAAGGGGTCAGTGGTGAAGTTGCAACATAATGTGGAGTACATCATATGAGGCGTTCTTCTTTGGGCAAAGGGAAAGGCAGGCCGTTCTTTTCGGATCCACCTGCTGCGGACGGTTTCCTTTCTTCTGCGCTGGGGCGGTAGGTTCCCTCCATTCTCTTCTTTATGACGCACAGCAGAAGAAGCAGAGTCAAGCCAAGGAACAGAACCACGGTGGAGAACAGTGCCGACACCGTGAGTGGGAAGAATGCGCGCATTGTCATGGTGAGCTACAGCTGTAAAAAGGGGATGAAAATGTCAAAGGCGAATATTTTCAACCTCAACCTACATACAGATATCGTATTCTCACCGTGTACTCATATGCACTTATTTATTGATTTCACCTTAATTTATCCAGATGACATATTTCTCCAATGACAAACAAACCATTAATGTGTAATCTCATCTTGTTACACTTGCATTTGGGGATAAGTATTGCTAACAACCTCACGATAGAATGCGTAATCACGATTCAGGGGTCATGATGATGAACATGTGGAGCCCGATATGTGGCATTCACGGCAGTACATATCCTGGTATTTTGGATTACTTTACATCCATTTTTGATGAAAATAGTGATGTTTACACAAATGATATTTTGTGCTGAATGGTAAACATTTTCTTCTTCTACTGTTAGCAGCGCTTTCTGTTTACAGTCAGTGCCGTGCCTGCTCGAAAGCAAAAATTAGCTTTCAGAGATGCCTCCGTATCGTATAGAAGCCCACAACCATATCTTCCCGTGTTGATTTTTTTTTTTAGCACACCCCTACTTGCATTTTACTTTTTTATTGGCTTTTTGAGGCCGCACCTGGCAAAGAATAAGCTTAATGATGACTGAATGAAAATTCCTGCAATGTAGGAAAAGTTCTGGCTCCATCAGACGTATGTGCAAACTGTACAATGACTAAAATACCGAATACATACAAAAGTTGCTTGACTATATGTCCCAATGAATGACAGGTGACCAGTTTAGGGTGTACCCCGGCTCGTGCGTGAAGTCAGGTGAGAGAGCCTCCAGCTCACCTGCAACCCTGATGAGAACAAGTGAAATAGAAAATAGATGGGTGAATGGAGATTTTTTTATTTTTTTCATACACAATACCGTTTTCTGTTTTCAATGGTATGACAAATGAAGGATGTTAAAATATGACAAAAAAAAGTGTGTACAGTTAAAGATTTTGTGGGGGCAACAGTGCAACGCTGGAACAAATCAAAACAATGTTTTTAATATTCATTTCTGACTTGAGGGTAATGTCTCGGGATATAGAAAACAAAATCATTCTACATGTTTTAACGGGTGAATTTTTTGTTTCGCCTTCATGGCTTGTTACATATTAAACTCATAGTATCGCATCGCACTTGTGCGTGTTATTTCAAGAAATGTCATTGGATAGTTATGAGAAACTGCAAGGTAAGTGTAAAAGAAAGACACACAATTTAGACAATGTGACAATATTTTACCTCTCAGAAGAAAGGAAAGAAGCTTTGAGGTCTGGGGTGGCCTTGAAACTTACATTGGAGCAAACAACCATCAGCCAAATTTTAATCATGCAGCATCTGGGGGAAAAAAGGCCACAACCAGTCAGATAATTACAGGTTTCTTATTTTCTGCACTTATGTAGGTATTTACCTTGGTGTTAAAGGTCCCCTTACATTATAAGACATTTTTTTCCCCACTTATTCCACAAACACATTATTAATCGGAATACAGTGGTACCTCTACTTACGAATGTCTCTTCATATGAAATATTCAAATTACGAAATGCCTCAACAGGAAAATATATATTATTTATAAATTAGCATTTTTAAATCCATTTTTACACAGTAATTGTAAAATATATATTTGGTTATTACTGATCCACTTCCGGGCGGCCCGGTAGTCGAGTGGTTAGCACGTCGACTTCACAGTGCAGTGGTACTGTGTTCGATTCCGGCTCCGGCCTTCCTGTGTGGATTTTGCATGTTCTCCCCGTGCTTGCGTGGGTTTTCTCCGGGTCCTCCGGTTTCCTCCCACATTCTGAAAACAAGCATGGCAGGCTGAATGAACACTCTAAATTGTCCCTAGGTGTGAGTGTGAGTGCGGATGGTTGTTTGTTTCTGTGTGCCCTGCGATTGGCTAGCAACCTGTTCAGGGTGTCCCCCGCCTAATGCCCGAAGACAGCTGGGATGGGCTCCAGCACCCCCCGCGACCCTAGTGAGGATAAAGCAGTTTGGAAAATGAATGAATGATCCAATTCTCACAAATGATGATTAAGTGGGCTTCAGAGGATTTTCAGATTTAACAGTGGGCCATGAGACAGTTTATGTTTGGGAATGCCTGGCGATTCAAAGCATGTCAAAAAACAGACAAAAATGTTGACCAGTTTTCCGATGCCACAGCTGATGTCTATTAATGTCTGGTTTTGTTTGAAACACAAAAGAAAATGTGCTTTCTTTCATGGATCAGAAAATCATATCCACATATTGAAATGTTGTACTTTTAAAAAAACATTTATCTTAAAAATAAGTCGAAACTTTTCACTTCCTTTCCATTCGGTCTACAATAAGTTGCTGACAAAAATTATGTTTTATTGAAAAGTAAAAAACATATATAATTAAAAAAAAAAAAACTTGTCCGAAAAATAAATCCTCAAGTCAAGCTAATAATAGCGCGGACTGGCCGACCGAGATGCGGTTCTGCGGGTCAGGAAGGAATGCAGCCCATCCTGCTCCACCTGTTCTCTCAGCTGACTGCTGTGTGCCGCCACAAAGTTGGAGGAGGAACCGAAGAATCCCCGCCAACACTAACTCACCTTCTTCGCTGCAGTCACCATTAAGACCTACGACCTTACTTGAGAGAAAATTACCTGTCCAAGAGCCGGGAACGTGTCCAGGTGAAATGAAGCTCGTCGTTTGTTAAAATCCCACTTGAAAGACGCTAGAGAAGTATCCACCGTGACAACAACGTGTCCTCAGCCCAACCGAAACTATTTGGAAGCGCACTACCTGACTGTCCATATGGAAATAAGCAGGTCACGTGAATCACATCGGCCAATCAGAAACGTCTCCCATTCTCGGTTTGTGCCACGTTCGACAAATGTTTGTTGTTTTGGGCTCTTGTTTTTCATTATTTCGTGTTTAAAACAGGCACGTCCGCGCCAACTGCTTTAAAAAAGTGATAATAAATAACTGCAAGTATTTAATTGGCAAACTAGCTAATTTTAGTAACTTTTCACACTACCACCAACGTTTATTCTCAACAAAGCACCTACCAACTAATTTACCTATTTCCACATTTGTTCAATTGTTTTCTGTGAGGAATTTGCATGTCCTCTCCGTGCCTGTGTGCATTTTGTACGGATGTATGAGTTTCAGCTACATTCTATGACTCATTTGTCATTAAGAGGTATGCGGCTGGGTTTTTACAGACGCTTTTCAAGAGTGCGTGGACAAATGATGCAGATGGACACAGCAGCTTCCTCGGAGATTTCCCTCTGCTGATTGCCGTTGATAGAAGGACGCTCTCAATATCTGGCCCGACCGGAGGTCCATGATGCCACCATGAGCTTGCAGAGTGACAGCGCTCTCGGCCAGTGATTCACAACATTCCATCTGTCCATTATCTTTATAATACTCACGAGGGTCGCGGGCGTAATAATTCATTAGATAGATCGATAGATAGATAGATAGATAGATAGATAGATAGATAGATAGATAGATAGATAGATAGATAGATAGATAGATAGATAGATAGATAGATAGATAAGACCAACACATACTAAGACAGTGGCCTGTCTGTAAGTTATACACTGTAAATACAGTTACATTTTTGAATATGTAACACCGTTACACGAATTCGGTTACTCCCAAAGCCAGCCCATTCCTGCCTGAAAGACTTTACGGGTCCCTGTTGGACAATGTAAAATTAGTGCCACTAGAGGGCACATCAGGAAAGACGTTTAAAAAAAATCAACAGGAAAATTCTGGATTTTAAGACATGACATGCATCAAAGAAACACCTGGCTCTCGATTGTGCAGTCAAACCCAAGTGGGGGTCTTTATATATTAACCTCTGTTTTCAAGGAGGCATGCAGAAATTTACTAGAGAGTAATTCATGAAGTTAACAGCATTGAATGTTGTAACAGTCATCTAGATGGTAGAAGACAAGTATTCATTATACTGTGACCAAATGCAGTTTTTTACGTGTCAGCATCTTTTACCAATTTTCACAATTTTTTACACATTGTTTTTACTAACTGTGGAGAAGGATATTTTAACAGGCACATTTTTACTTTTTGTTGTAAATGCACACGTTCACAGAAAAACAAATGCCAGTTTTTAAACTTCGTTTTCAGGGCAAACCGAAAGGGTATTGCCCTTTCGGTTTGCCCTGAAAACAAAGTTATTTTAGCCAGACAAAGGAAGTGGAGGGTGGTGTCATTGATGATTCTGTCACAGGTGTGTTAACATGATTAAATCCTGACTCCATGTTGATTTTCAGTGGTTAGCGCGTCGACCTCACAGCGCAGAGGTACCGGGTTTGATTCCAGCTCCGGCGTTCCTGTGTGGAGTTTGCATGTTCTCCCCGTGCCTGTGTGGGTTTTCTCCGGGTACTCCGGTTTCCTCCCAAATTCCAAAAATATGCATGGCAGGCTGATTGAAGACTCAAAATTGTCCCTAGCTGTGAGCGTGAGTGCGGATGGTTGTTTGTCTCAGTGTGCCCTGTGACTGGCTGGCAACCGGTTCAGTGTGTCCCCCGCCAACTGCCCGAAGACAAATGGGATAGGCTTCAGCACACCTTGGGGCTCTTAGTGAGGATAAAAGCGGATCAAAAAATGGATGGGTGGACGAAACCACTGGAAATCTGAAAACATTATTGCAGATTAGGAGTTTGAATCATGGTCAGTGTTTTGTTACAAATCGCTGCAATTTCAAGATCCGCTCATGTGAATGAATGATTTATTTATTAATTGAACATGTAAGTGGGTTAAACATATAATTTATGATTCAGTTGTTTTTGTTACCCTAAAGCAAATAAAGCTAATTCAAAAGTTAAAAGAAATCATTCAAAAGCAAAAGGAAAAAAACTTTTTTGCACTCTTTAGGAGTGACATAATGTGTGGTGTTTCTCTTTGTTCCTTTCAAGTTGAAAGATAAGATTCATTAAATAAATAAAAAGTTGAATTACATCCACGTGAAAAATGACATTGTATAATTTGTGTGCAAATGTATTACCACGTATTATACCTTGTTTTAGTAAAAAATGCCTGAATTATGACTTCTTAAATAAATCAGTTTGAAGCCATTTTGGGGAAATCAGTTGTTTGCCGTGTCTGTTTGCCAAGCACAAGTTTGTCATCAGAGAAAATTCCATGTTGTTGAAACTCACAAAATGTTTGTCAGGCATTACACAACTTTAACCTTTTGTGCTTGGCCAGGTTCAAAAGATATATTGATCCAGCAGAGTCAGAAAATGAACACCGACTGAAATGTCTGTATCAAAAAAAATAATGAATGCACGTATATGAGAAAGCGTTCATTGGATCTGTGGCTCAGACGATGGGGAATTGAGACTAACCTTAGAAGCACGTTTTTGGGAGGCGAGACAAAGTCAGAATACCAGGGGAAAAGTAACACAAACTCTGCACATATACAGTATGGTCAAACTGAAATGTTGTTCATTAAATATGAATAATGTGAAGCTCAATGTATTTTTACAATCATTTTATATTCATCAAATCATCCCAACATAGTTACAGTCGCTTACGTGTGCGTGAGAGACATTTGTGTATTCATTAATCCTTTGCATCAAAACGAAAGTCAGTTCATCAAGGCATTGATTTTTAAATGGACGCTTCATGGGCCTTTGCTAATCTCCGCAATTTGGCAACTGCTGCCGGGAAATGATTTTGCGCAACCTATATGGACCTATTGGGAGGAGACTGGTTGAGAGGGATATAAAAGGGGAGCGTTGTAGCACTCAACTCTACTTTGACAGTAGTTGCGGATTGGGGAGAGAATGGGTACAACTCCTCTGTGGCTGCTGGCCTCACTGGCCTTTGCCTGTTTGTCTTCTGTGGCTGATGGTGTTCCATTGTAAGTAGACTTGGCACTCAACTTCGAACACATTCAATGGGATCTGCTTGTACTATCTAATCTTAGGAAAAAAATGATTAGCCCACTTTGTTTTCTTCAATTTCTTGTTCATTGGAATGACTGGAACCACTAGGTGTATCATGTGACTATCCATCCACCCATCCATCCATTTTCCGATCCGCTTTACCCTCACAAGGGTCAGGGGGGGTGCTGGAGCCTATCCCAGCTGTCTTCAGGGAGTAGGCGAGGGACACCCTGAACCGGTTGCCAGCCAATCGCAGGGCACACAGAGACGAACAAGCATCAGCGCTCACACTCACACTTAGGGACAATTTGGAGTGTTAAATCAGCCTGCCATGCATGTTTTTGGAATGTGGGAGGAAACCACAGTACCCGGAGAAAACCCACGCAGGCCCGGGGAGAACATGCAAACTCCACACAGGAAGGCCGGAGCCGGGATCAAACCCACGACCTCTGCACTGTGAGGTCGACGCGCTCACCACTGGCCCACCAGGCCGTCCATCATGTGACTAACAGAAAGGAAAACATGTAAAGCCTTAAAGCACTGTTTTTGGCACGACAATGCCACAGCTATTCATGGAACTATCTATCTAGCTATCGAGTTGTCGAACTGTCTGTATTGTCTTCATGACTATCACTCACTGTATTTGAATAAATAACATTTGAGAATTGTAAACATTGGCTTCGTCAACTTGCGTAATGATTAGCAAGACCACTCGTTTGCAGTTCCAAAAGTCAAGGTAATTTGGTCGGATATTTGTTTCATGACATCAAACAGGGTAAACAGTGCAATGGTGAAATTTGTTCTGATCAAATGCTGGATTTTACTCCTTACAGTCAACAGTTGACTCATTGTTTGCAGAGTTCATGTCGGGGTGGCTGCGAGGGACGTTATCCTGAGACACCACATGGTGGGGTGTTTAGAGTAGGGTCGTGACATGATCAAAATGATAAAAAAGCGAGGAAAAGGGAGAAAAAAACAATACAAGTGCAAACTGCATTTGCTAATGTTCACTGAAGAATCCTGCTGCAACATTAAAAAGATAAAGCAGATGACCAAATTCATTAAATCCGTCCTTAAAAACACTTCACCAAGGATGAAAATACTTTATGATATAGTAGCAATATGATGTTGGGAATATTTTGTGGAAATTTCGAATAAAGTTCATAAAAGGCAAATTTTTGATACAGCTCTGCTGTGGAGTGTCATTATAATGTGCTGGTGTACCTAACGTTATGACCAAGAGCGGAGGTCTGTGTATCTTTAGCTTATCCTTAGCTTCTAATGATTCTCCCTCTTATGTGCTGCAGGAAGGTGATGTCTTCCCCCAACCTGTTGCGGGTAGGAGCAGCAGAAAACATTTTTGTGGAGTGTCAAGACTGCACTGGGGGCGACATCAAGGTGGACATCAACGTGATGAACCATCCAACCAAGACCAAAAAGCTCGGGTTGGGTGCGTCTGTGACCCTTAATAGCGCAAACAACTTCCAAGGATTTGGACAAATCACGGTAAAAGAGAGACTCTACCCATATTTTGTTGTCTCTGAGCATTTTAATACATCTTTGTCCTTGTGCTTCTCACGCATTAGATACCGACAGGAGACTTTAGTACAGACCCCAACATGAAGCAGTATGTGTACCTGCAAGCTCAATTCCCTGACCGACTGTTGGAGAAAGTGGTATTGGTCTCCTTTCAGTCTGGATACATCTTCATCCAGACAGACAAGAACCTCTACACTCCCGACAGCACGGGTGCGCCAAGCGTGGCGTCATTATCATTAATATGGCTCAAAACAACTGAACAGTAATTGAAATCCGTCCCGCTGTCTTTCAGTGAACTACAGGATGTTTGGAGTTACGCCGAGCATGGAACCTATTGAGAGAGATCACCAAAATCAAGATGAGGCTGCTGCCATAATCATTGAGATGATGGTAAGTTACCATTTTTATCCAAAATGGTGCCAGCAGCTGAAAAGCCTCCCTTCAGAGGTGTAACAAATCATCGGAAGGGACAATCACATTTTCAGAAAGCTGATAATGAAATGATGCCGTTGGTCGTTGCATGAAATAGAACAGATGGATGATAATGTGTTGGCTGCCCTTGTTGTGGCATCACTGCATTCAGTCAATCGATCTCACACTTCATAAAAGAGCTATTGTCGCGTGGCTCAAATACATGATCAAAAAGAAAGTTATGAGGCTGATAATAAAGTTTGTTCAATGTTATTAATCCCTAGACCCCCGAAGACATCATTTTACCTCTTGAGTCAGTCTTTCTGAAGTCAGGGATCTACACTGGAAACTTCAAACTTGCTGAGATTGTCAGGTGATGTTTTTTTTTTTAATTCTCTTTTTCCACATTTCACCTATGTATATTTTCTTTGACTCAAGAATGAAGGATTTTTTTTCAAATTGACACTGCAAAGAAATAAAAATAACTGTAAATTACTGACAGCAGGGGCACCGCTAGTTTACTGTTATTTTACAAAGCACCTATCGTAATTCATTTGAACAGAATAGTATCGAACATATAATAGAATATTTTGAATTGTTTGTAAATTTACAGAAATTCATTGCAAGGTGTATATATATATATATATATATATA